ACAATATATATTTTTGAAAGCATTCTTACTTTATAGCATTTTTTCACACCTGTCTAAAACTTTTGCACAGTATTGAAGTAATATAAAATCATATCAATACAGTATACAAACGTGCATGCTTCATGTTTCTTTCAGAAGGCAGCTTCCAGAAAAGTGATTATTATGCTTATCAAAGCATGAGCCAATTAGGAATAGACAAAACTCCCTCCATTATTTCTACAAAAATGTGTGCCTTATGAAAAAAGGTTATATGTTTGGAATGAATATGTTCTTCTCACAAGAGTACAATTTTCTAATTTATATATCACTTCTTAGCTGGAATCTTAGTATTAGAATACTTTCTCCCTCACTGTAAGATGGAGATCTGGCTTTCAAGGTACATCATGCTTCGGCAACTAATGATGATAAATGCATGGTTCTAAAAGATCTGTGAAAGTGGCCACACAGAGATCCAACATAGATTCAAGTTTAAGAAAAGATAGGGTCAATGGCCAGAGTTCTTTTGTAAAGACTTTACTCAGAGGCCTACTTGGAAAACATGACTATATGGAAGTTGTCATAGTTATTCCATATTATCTGATAAAGATCCCAATCCACCAAAGAAATATTCACACAAGACAGTTACTGAAACAGGTAAGTTAAAATATAAAATACATTTTATATAAAATATAAAAATTCTCCAGATCTTCAGATCTCAAAGATCTCAAATTTCTATTTCAGACTATCTGTAAGCCACAGACAAAGTCCGTTGTTTCCAAACAGTCTGGACAACTGACATAAAATATATAATTTGTGAAATTATACCATAGAAGTTTTTATGAAGTTTGCATTAATTTATATCATTTGTGTAAGTGGCATAAACTGAACCAATAACAAGTAATAATGTAAATAACACTAATGACAATAAATTACATAAATTCAGATTTAACAGATATTTGGATTTGACATCCCTCCCCCCTTTCCCACAAATGTCTTTTAAATTGAGGTTTTATTCTACTTGCATGTTCATAATGGCATGGACCTGTGACATAATTGTATTTGTTAATTTTTAGAGTAAAAGACTTCTTTTCTGGTCCTAAGAGGGCCCATAAATTGCTTATATCACAAAAACAAATCAACAAAACACAATAAACATGAATAACAAAATTAAAATCAGAACCTGAAATCAAAAGGAGCAGAGATAGATTTAGTGAGGTAAATATCATTATAAGTGAAATGAAATAAACTTGTTTTCATGTTTGTCTAAATACAATTAGATAATGTAAACAGTACTGGGATCCCCAATGTGGTGCCCAGGATACCAATGTGGCTATAGACACCTCTCTTGCTGCCCATAACAATTCCTCCCTGATTTTTTTCCAATTAAAAAAAAGAAGGGGGTAGCATGATGCAAAGCAAAATGTCACCCTACAACATCACACTTATTTTCAAGCATCTGCCTGAACCACAAAAAGCCTTATAAACATCCATAGAAAATAAAAATGGTAGATGATTTTAATCTACATATGTCCTTTTTGTTGTTAAAATGGTATCTCCATCCTATGCTCCCTACTATTTAGAATGTCAGTAACTTTTAGCAGAACAAATGACAAAAATTCATTTTTATCAGATTATTATATACAAAAAAAAAATGCCATCCATGAAAAGAACAACAGCATTTATTTATTGTAGGAAAACAAAAGTAAAATAGTCCATGACAGTTGCTGCTGTTGCTATTAGATCTGCTTCTGTAGACTGTGGAAGAAAACCTGAGTGCAGAAAAGTAGCAAGCTGACAGTCAAGTCTGTAATTCTCAAAGTTTCAAGATCAACTGCAACTTCATGGGCTATATTTACGGAAAGGCATGTTTTTGTTAAGCACCATTTATAAAACTTGTTTTTTACAATGCAATGCAAATCAATGCAATCAATGCAAAACACAATGCTAAAATGTTATTGAAAAAATAAAAGGTAAGGTTTATCTTTGAGTTATACTTATTGTTTCCTTTTAGTTTAGGATTTTGGGAATGAGCATCAACAGTGAAAGTTGTTAATATTTCAGGATAATACAAATTCTTTATTGCAACTTGCCAGAAAAGTTGCCTGTTGCTTATTTAGATGAAAACATACTGTATGCATTAACAGAGAGAAAATCTGCATGAATTATAATTAATAGTTCAGAAAGCCCTCAAGGCCCATGGAGGCTTTAAGCAGGGTATGTCATGCCTTTAACTTCTGTGTAGTAAGAACATCGCTGTGATGAGAAGCAACATTTGTAAGATTTATATAGAACAAAGCTGGCCCAGATCAGTTCTCACTGCTTGAAATATACAACTGACTGTAGTGATAACTGACTGAAATGGAGGGAAGGGTCATTACTTTTTCACATTGGGACATTATATTTTGGACTTTGCTTAGACATAAATGGAAGAAGCATCAAACTCTATGTTCTTTGTTCAGTCATATTTCCTTATGTATCAGGAGGACCCAGATTAAGTTCCACTGATAACATTCAGTGGAAAGATATGCAAACATTCAGAAAATCCATAAAAAGGTAAATACCTTTTCACAGAACTCTGTATCAGCTGGCTAATATTTAAGTCAGTTAGAGGTTCAGAGACTTTCTCATATATAAGTATTATAAGAATAAAAAAATTAAAAAGGACAGCTTAATAAACAGTGCCACATGCCTTTATCTTCAGCTGACAGTTTCACTGTAGTGTGTTGAATACTTTGTCCAACCTATTTATAAATTATTCAAATAATTGATCTTCTCTCATTCCTTTGGGAGATTATTATTTAATCTAACAGCCATTGTTAGAATGTTCTCCATTTTGGTAAAGTCTCAATTCCCCCTTCATGTAAGGATGTTTTTGTCCTCAACAAAATATGTACAGGAAATACGAGAGTTTCTTCCACAGTATTTTTTCAGGTTTTTTGGACTGGCAGCTTTTTATTCTTGTGCTGATTTTAATTCACAAGTAAGATAATTTGTTTTAATTCTGTAAAATGTTTGAAAGACTAAAGCAATTGTTTAGCAAATTGCTGAAATCTATCTATGAAGGATGACAGCACTGCATTTCTAGAAGTGCTGAACTAATAAACAATCTCTATTATTAAATAGTGGTATCATCTGACTATCTTAAAAGTATATTTTCTCTTGTCCCCTTTAAGCAATATTTCAATTATCTGAAGACCTGATCTGACTGACATTTTAGTTTCTTTTTTCTTATCCTGATCTCTTACCTCCTGAATACAAAGATATCAACATAAGGACAAAAAAAGCTACTATAACAATCTGATACTGGATGTAAAATTGAAATGACAAGTGTAGCTTTTTAATCTGTAATGCTATCTTTTGTGTGAATAAATGGAAAATCTACTGCTCCATCCTTATCTTTTGTACAAGTTAAAATGCTACCTTACAAAATTGCAGTGTTGATGATATACAATCAGCAACTCATATAAATGATGGCATGTTGTTAATCTAATTAGCTGCAGGATGTTATTTCTATATCCTTGGGCTCCAGTCCATTTTATCCA